GCCTGGGGCGTTCAGGTGTTCGACCGCTTCACCATTGTGCTGCACATCTTCCGCTGCCATGCCCGCACCAAGGAGGCCCGGCTGCAACTGGCCCTGGCTGAGCTCCCCCTGCTCAGGTAGACTCTGAGCTCCCCCTGCAGAGATATACTCTGACATCTTCCTGCACAGGTGTACTCTGAGATCCCCCTGCTCAGGTAGATTCTGAGATCCTCCTGCACAGGTAGACTCTGGGATTCCCCATGCACAGGTAGACTCTGACATCCCCATGCCCAGGTAGACTCTGGCACTCCCCCTGCACAGATACAATCTGACATCCCCATGCTCAAGTGGACTCTGATACGCCCCCTGCACAGGTGGATGCTGGCAGTCTTGTCTCCTCCCACCCTGACACAGCGCAGACAACAGGATCGTGGACAGTCTAGGACAGTGTGAATGTCATGCATCATGGACAGCAGAAGACAGTGTGGGGCATCAGTGAGCCGTAGGGTGGACCACTGACCCCCGCTGCTGAGCGCCCTGTGGGTGCTGGTGGCAGGTTCCGGGCCTGGTGCCCTAGTCCGATGCACCCCGAGGGGCTGCCCAGTGGGTGCCATCGCAGACAGTGTCAGCACGGGGGACGCGGGGCAGCGTGTGGCGGCCAGGGAGGGGATGGCCCTCTGCAGCCAACACGCCCTCCCATTTCTGCACCAGGGCCAACCTGAAGAAGGACCCCTCCCAGCTGGACCAACAGGGCAGGGGCTCTCGCTACATCATGGGCTCAGGTGCGTGTGCTGCTGCTTGGCCACTGGGGGTGAGGGGTGCAGATAGGCTGCTCTTTGGCAGTCTGGGAGACCTTGCGAGACGCCGAGGAGGGTGGGTGCAGGTGACTTGGGGTGCCTCGGGGCCTGTGTGTTTAGGGGGCCACAGCAAGGGGACAGGAATCAGAGGCTTGAGGTGACAAATGTGTCTCCCAGATCAAGTGACCTGGAGTCTGAGGTCCAGGGGTGGGCAGGGCCGGGCTCCCTCAGGAGGCTCCAGGGGAGGGTCCTTCCTGATGGCCTCTCCCAGCTCCTCGGGGCCCTGGACATTCCTGGGCTTGTGGCTGCATCTCTCCAGTCCCTGCCTCCGTCTATGTGGCTGACCCCTCTGTCCCTTCTCTAAGGACGCCACTCCTGTAGGATGTGGGCACCCCTGCTCCAGGGTGCCCTCAGGACACTGTTGTGATCTGAACTGTGTGGCACAGAAGGTGCCCTGGATGGGCGCCCCCCCCCATGACGTCATGTATAAGTGCCGCACTCATAGCCTCCCGCAGGCGCAGGTCTTCCCCTCCCCGGCTCCCTGGGATGACGCCACCCTGGGCTGACGTCGTGCGCTCGGGCACAGGTGCCTTGCTCACGGTGTCCCCGCCCCCACCCCTCCGGGCGCGCAGGGGAGACCTTCCTGCAGGAGCGGCAGCGGCTGCTGAAGGACAGGGAGGCGCGGATCAGGAAGGCGCTGCGGAAGCTCGCCGTCAAACGGCGCCTGCTGCGCGGACAGCGGCAGCGCCGCGAGCTGCCCACGGTCGCCGTCGTGGGGTACACCAACTCTGGTGAGGCCCGGGCACGGGGAGGGCTGCCCCGGGAGTGACGCGGGGAATAAAGACGGGGGTCGACGGGGGCACAGACTGATGAGGAGGGACGTGGACACAG